CTTCCAGCTGCACACAGATCCCCCCCCATTTATAAATACATCTTTATCCCTTTTGCCCAGAGGTCTCCATGTAATTATTAATTTTTATTGACAAAAATCTGCACTGTTTCAATCTAACAAGATCAGTTATTAAATAATATGGATTCTCTCCCTTAATTGGGAGTGCCTGAAGGAAGAATCCTTGCTTGCGGTATCTGACCCCCTTTGGCACAAGAAGCTCAACATAATTTAGGTGTCCTGAATGTAAAGCCCCCCTCTACTCCTCAGGGACCAAGGACTGGGAACCCCACATCTCTCTCTCTCGCACTACTGTGGAGCCCCCTCCATAATTCAGGGCATCAGAAGAAATAGAATAGAATTCTTTATTGGCCAAGTGTGATTAGACACACAAGACACACATTTGTCTTTGGTGCATACGCTCTCAGAGTACATAAAAGAAAAGATACATTCATCAAGAATCATAAGGTACAACACTTAATGATAGTCATGGGGAAACAGTCAATATAAATCTTAAGGATACCAGCAACAAAGTTACAGTCATACAGTCATAAGTGGGAGGAGATGGGTGAGAAGATTAATAATAATAGTAATGCAGATTTAGTGAATAGTTTGACAGTGTTGAGCGAATTATTTGTTTAGCAGTGATGGCATTCGGGAAAAAACTATTCTTGTGTCTAGTTGTTCTGGTGTGCAGTGCAGAGGTGGGTTTCAGCAGGTTCTGACCAGTTCTGGAGAACCGGTAGCGGAAATTTTGAGTAGTTCGGAGAACCAGTAGTAAAAATTCTGACTGGCCCCGCCCCCATCTATTCTCTGCCTCCCAAGTCCCAGCTGATCGGGAGGAAATGGGGATTTTGCAGTATCTTTCCTTTGGAGTGGGTGGGAATGGAGATTTTACAGTATCTTTCCCCTGCCACGTCCACCAAGCCACGCCCACCAAGCCATGCCATACCCACCCAGCCACACCCACAGAACCGGTAGTAAAAAATTTTGAAACCTACCGCTGGTGCATGCTCTATAGCATCGTTTTGAGGGTAGGAGTTGAAACAGTTTATGTCCAGGATGAAGGAGTCTGTAAATAAGGAGTGTCTCCTATTACAATACATTCAGCCTTCGTCCTGTGAAAAGGGCCCCTTATTTTGGGGTGCTGAAGCTAAGCTCTTTCCTTGAACGTCCCTTCTGGACTGCTGCCATTATAAGCCCCCCCCCCATTTTTCAGAGGTTTCAGTTGTCCACAAAGCCATTATTTTGGGGGGGGTTAATAATATGATTTCCCCCCTTATTTCAGGGTGCTAAAGCTTAGATCTCTCCTTGTGTGCTCCCTCCTGCCTACTGCCATTGTATGGGGTGCTCAGTGATATGGGGGTGCCCCATTATTTAGGTCTGTTTCACACTATGAACCCCTTGAGCACTCCCTCCTGCCTGCACCCGAGCACCCCTCCATTATTCAGGGGTGCTTCATAAGCTGATCTGCTCCGGCCCCCTGCCTGACCCCAAGACCCCCCCCCTCCCTTACTCAAGAGGTTGCTACATGGAAAAACACCTTAGGGTGTTTATGAACCCCTTATTCAGCTTGAACTGCCCACCCCCTAGGATTTTCTCATTATTCGAGGCGATTAATACTGTGAGGGGTCCTTGATGCTCTCTGAGCTTGCCGATTTTCTTGCAGGTAACATCATCAGTACACTCCAATCCTTTGCAGAACTGATGATGTTACATAGCTGGGTCATGAAACGCCTGCATGAAAACCACCAAGCTCAGAGAGCACCAAGGACACCGTACTCCTCCTCTCTGCATACCCCACCCCATTCTAGCACTGATGGTGTTGTCTAGTTGGGTCATGAAACATCTGCAACAAAACAAGTAAGCTCAGAGAGCACCAAGGACCCCGTTCTTCTTCTTCTTCTACTTCTTCTTCTTCTTCTTCTTCTCCTCCTCCTCCTCCTCCTCCTATTTCTCCTCCTCCTCCTATTTCTTCTCCTCCTCCTCCTCCTCCTATTTCTTCTTCTTCTTCCTTTTCCTTCTCCTCCT